TTTTTTGGTTTTTCGAGACAGGGTTTCTCTGTGGCTTTGGAGGCTGTCCTGGAACTAGCTCTTGTAGACCAGGCTGGTCTCGAACTCACAGAGATCCACCTACTTCTGCCTCCTGAGTGCTGGCATTAAAGGCGTGCACCACCAGCCCGGCAAGCAGAATGTTGTATACTTAATAAATATATAAAATCTTTAAAAAAACAAAAAAAAAGGTGTATAGAAAGGTAAAAGCCCAGAGGCAAAAGATAGACTAAATTATTTAAAAAAAGAAAAAAAAAAGTGTGTTGCACAACACTGAAAACCTGAGTTAAGTCCCCAAATCCCACTGTGGAGGAGAGAACCAGCTCCTCAGAGTTGTTTCTCTGACCTCACAGGCACACTGTGGCATGCATTCATTTACAGGAACACACATAATGAACAATAAGTTTAAAAAACAGTGCCATGTGAGTTCCAGGCCACCTTGGTTTACATAGTGAGTTCCAGGACAGCCAGAACCTCAAAAAAAAACAAGAGAGAGGGGGCTGGAGAGATGGCTCAGGGGTTAAGAGCACTGACTGTTCTTCCAGAGGTTCTGAGTTCGCTCAATCACAGAATGCTTGCCTGGCATGCTCTAACGCCCTGGGTTCAGTTTCTTGAGAAGAAAAAAAACCCAGCAACTTAAAGCTGGTGAGGTGGCTCAGTAGGTAAAGCATCTCATACAAGCCTGACAATCTGAGTTTGATTCCCTAGAACCCCTGTAAAGGTGGAAGGAGAGAACCTATTTCACAGACTTGTCCTCTGACCTTCACGCTCACTCAGTGGCATACACAAGTCCTCTTACATACACATACATAATAACAATACATTGAAATTTCTTTTTCTTCTTCTTCTTTTTTTTTTTTTTTTTTCTTTTTTGAGACAGGGTTTCTCTATGGCCTTGGAGGCTGTCCTGGAACTAGCTCTTGTAGACCAGGCTGGTCTCGGACTCACAGAGATCCGCCTGCCTCTGCCTCCCAAGTGCTGGGATCAAAGTCGTGCACCACCACCGCCCGGCCACATTGAAAATATTTTAAAGTTATTTTTATTTTATATTATTGGTGTTTTGCATGCATGTATGCCTGTGGGAGGGTGTTAGATCCCTTGGAACTGGAGTCACAGACAGTTGTGGGTGTTCTCTGGAAAAACAGTCATAAACACACACACACACACACACACACACACACACACACACAGGTGTTTTGCTACACATATATCTGCACCATATGCATGCAGTACCTGTAGAGGGCAGAAGAGAGTGTCAGGTGCCCTGGAACTGGAGTTACAGACAGTTGTAAGCCACTGTGTGGATGCCAGGAATCTGTCCCAGGTCTTGTGAAAGAGCAACCAATACTCTTAACCACCGAGCCATCTCTCCAGCTCCAATTATAAATTTTTATGAACTTTTGGATTCAGTGGCTAGAGAGAGGCACTTGCCACTAAACCTAATGACCCAAGTTTGATTTTCCCAGATCCTGGGGACAGTTTAAGATGAGGTTTATGTGTAACATTTTGAACAAGTAACCAGATGATTCTTCCCCAGCAGTTTTTGACTGTGTTTTGACAAACTAGCTTTTTCTTGGGAATGGGAAGAAATTCTGGCATTCTGTGTTGGTACTGAGAATCGTTTCTGATCCCCTCATTTCTAGATTGCAGGGTACCTATATGGGGTGAGTCCTCCAGATAACCCTCAGGTGAAGGAGATCCGCTGTATTGTGATGGTGCCTCAGTGGGGCACTCACCAGACTGTGCACCTTCCCAGCCAGCTGCCCCAGCATGAGTACCTCAAGGTTTGTGGTGGTGGAGCCTGGGAATTGAACTTACTCTCATGTTACCCTAATGGGTGGCATTTGTCTGCAGATAGGTTGAACAGCTCTTTGCTCTTTGCCTGCAGGAGATGGAACCCTTAGGTTGGATCCACACTCAACCCAATGAGTCTCCCCAGCTATCACCCCAAGATGTCACCACTCATGCCAAGATCATGGCTGACAACCCATCTTGGGATGGCGAGAAGACAATTATCATCACCTGCAGGTGGGTATGGGCCTCCTTGAGTGGAAATATTTTAAGGTAAGTATTGCAGGTCAGAGCCTGGATTTGTGGCCTGAGCTCTCAGCCTGTCTTTTTCCCTCCCCCCAGCTTCACCCCAGGCTCCTGCACACTGACAGCCTACAAGTTGACCCCCAGTGGCTATGAGTGGGGCCGACAGAACACTGACAAAGGCAACAACCCCAAAGGCTACCTGCCCTCACACTATGAGAGGGTCCAGATGCTCCTCTCAGACCGATTCCTCGGCTTCTTTATGGTTCCTGCCCAGTCCTCCTGGAATTACAACTTTATGGGTATGTGGTTGTATGCGACAGCATGGGAGCGTGGACAGGGTAGGGGTGGAAGTAGGAGAAGCCAGCACTCTTGGCTCTTGGGGTCTGACTGCCCAAGGACCCTTGTTAACATCTGATGTTTCCCCCTCTCTAAGGTGTTCGGCATGATCCAAACATGAAATATGAGCTGCAGCTGGCAAACCCCAAGGAATTCTATCATGAGGTCCATAGGCCCTCCCACTTCCTCAACTTTGCCCTCCTGCAGGAGGGTGAGGTCTACTCTGCAGACAGAGAGGACCTCTACGCCTAGTTATTTTCTTGCTTCCTTCTGCTTCGGATTCCCCAAAGGCTGGAGCCCATAGACAAGCTGCTGACATTCAGCAGCCTGGCCCCTTTTGTGTTTTGTGTTTGTGTTGTTGATAGACTGTAATCCTGAACAAAATGTAATAAATTTTGTATAAATAGGAGTGCTGTTGTTTTCTTGCTCTTATGAGTTCAGATTCTGGGTGTAAATTACTTTGGGGACTGGCTTGGGCAGTTCACAACAAAGTTCTGGGCCCCGGCCTTCAGGCCTTTGAGGTTCCATATACCCTAGACTGAATTGGGCCTGGCTTTCATACTCCACTACCTTGACCATATTTGTTGGTTTGTGTTCTTGGAAACCACCTATTTTCAACATCGCTTCTAGGACTCTGGTCCTGTAGCTGTAATGCCTGGCCTTGTCCATTTGTAAACCTTGTCGTTCCTGGTGGGGTAACAAGCACATCGGTGGCTGTCCCAGCAGTCCAGTAAAGGCTATTTGCTGACCTTCAGTCTTTCACCTCTGGAGTGCTTGGCAGCCAAGTCTAGGGGTGGAGCCTGGATCAGGCACTACGGGGAGGGTTTGCCTAAAGTGACCACTTATAGCCCTGCCTCTCAGCTCTTGGATACCTGCCTGGAAGTTGGCTGTCCTGCCTGTATCCAGTGACCTTGTAGGTGGACCAGAATAGGGCTCAAGGGTCCCAGAGCACTCTCCCACCCCAAGGCCTTTTTCCCCATTTGCTCCTCCCTTGTCGCTTTTACTCCGCCCCTTATGGCCCTAAACTTCCTGGGCCGGAACTGTTTGGCTTTTTCCTGCCCCAGTTGAGGGTGGGGGCGGCTTTTGGCCTTAGGAGAGGAAAAATGGAACCCAGGAGGGCAGCGCCCGGACCACCCAGCCAGGACTCTGCTGTGGGCGCGGGGTCAGCTGCGGAGCTCGTGTACCATTTAGCGGGGGCCCTGGGCACTGAGCTGCAGGAGCTGGCACGCCGTTTCGGGCCCGACGCGGCGGCTGGGCTGGTGCCTCTAGTGGTGCGGGCGCTGGAACTCTTGGAAAAGGCGGCCGTGGGGCCTGCTCCGGACTCGGTGAGTCACCGGCTCCTCCTCTTACCCCGGGCAACCGGCAGGCCCTAACCCCAAGTCCCCTGGCTCCTCCAGCTGCAGGTGTCCGCGCAGCAGGCGGAACTGGAGCTGCGGCGGCTGCGCGAGGAGAACCAGCGCCTCCGCAGGGAGCTAGGCTCAGGGCCGCAGGGTGAGTGCGGGTCCCGCCGGAGCACAGTGAGCTAAGGGGCACCCGGGACCTTCGCACCCCGGAGACCGGTGTTAAGAACACCCCTTCCTCAGAGGAGCGCGCACTGCTGCGACAGCTCAAGGAAGTGACGGACAGACAGCGGGACGAACTTCGGGCACACAGCCGAGATCTAATGCGCCGAAGTCAAGAATCAGAAGCTGTGAGCGCGGGACCAGACGGGAGCGCGGAATGGGGCGGGGCAGGGGCGGGCTTTGGAGCTCCGCCCACTAGCTCTCGCTCCACCCCCAGCTGCAGGAGCAGCTGCAGCGCCTCCTGCTGGTCAACTCGGAGTTGCGGCACAAGCTGGCCGCAGTGCAGACCCAACTCAGAGCGGCGCAGGACAGAGAGAGGGAGCGCCAAATAGCTCAGGATGGCTGCCGCCAGCTGGCTGAAGAACAGAGGCTGAAGCCCGAAGCAGCAACCCCAGATGACCGGGTGAGAGCCGGAGAGGAGTCAGGATACATCCCAGTGCTCACAACATCCAGCACCTGGTGGGCCCGGCCTGGGTGTGCCATGCAGTATAGAGAAGGTCCGCAGAAAGTCGGAAGGCAGCAACAGAGTTCCGTTGCAGCAGAAGTCCGACACCTACTGTAGCAGCAACCTTGTCCCTTAACTTTTCCTGCCAGACATTTCCCTTAACATTACTGTGAGCGCTGGGATTTAGGGGAGGGCTAAGAGAGGCTACCCTCTAATCATGCCTAACCTTGCACAGGTGGATGCTCTGCAGCAGCCAGGGCGCCCTCCAGAGGACGTTCAGTGTGGCTTCAGCCGGGAGGAGCTTAAGCAGATCCTTCAGGAGAGGAATGAACTCAAAGCCAACGTATTCTTGCTCAAGGAGGAATTGGCCTACTTCCAGCGGTGAGGGGCCCCGGGAGCCAGGGTGCCTGTTCCTGGGCTAAAGGTCACCCCACCTCATTCTTTGGATCATTTATAGGGTCAGCAGTGACATTTTCCAGTGTCCTGTTCAGGCACTGGGAAGAAATAAATTCCATAGTCCCTGCCCTTCTGGAACCTCATTCAAACAGGGCAACACCAGGAGTTACCAAGCTGGAGCAGCAGGTCGGAAGTATTCTTAAGAGGGGCCATCTAAGTTCAGTTCAGAGGTGTTAGAGATACAGCGTCTTCGGGTGTTTCCAGGGGAAACTGAGCAGAGCTCAGGTACTAGCTGGAAACCTACTGTTGGTATTCCCACTTTCTTCCCCCTCCACCCCCTCTTTAGAGAGCTGCTCACAGATCACCGGGTCCCTGGGCTTCTACTTGAAGCCATGAAGGTAGCAGTCAAGAAACAGCGGAAGAAGATCAAGGCCAAGATGTTAGGGACAGCAGAGGAAGCAGAGAGCAGGTAAGATCCTGCCTCCATACCCACTGAACAAGTCCTTCTGCCTGCTGCAGTTCTACTGTGCCCAATGACCCAGTCTCGCCATGCCCTGTACTTCACTGAACCTGCTGTCCAGTTGTCATTCTTCCTTCCCTCTGGAACCCACTGCTCCCAGTTGCCCTGGCTGCTGTCCATCCTGCTGCAGAAATTATTAATGCCACTTGACATTCATTTCTATTTCTTTCCTTGGCTGGATCTCTTTCCTAAAGAAAGCTGTGGCTGCAGCCTTGTGAGAGGTTGTCGTTTGCTGGACTATAAAGTGAAAGCCTCAAGATGTCCCATGTCTCCTCAGTGTCCCCTCTCCAGCCCTGAGGCCTCTGCAGTCCCTCCATCTTCCCCTGATGCTCCTGAAAGTAGTAGTTCAGGAAGCTCCACATGAGCTGGACTCAGAGTATCCCTTAAGACCTCCATTTCTTGATCTTAGTGATGATGAGGACGACTCGTGGCTCCTGCTCTCCAATGACAAGGAAGAGGCTCCACTAGTTCCTGGATCCAGAATACAGAATTTGTATGTTGGAGGAGGGGAGGTCAGGAGGAGGGTGAAGGAGGGGCCTGCCTGGTTCTTCTCCACCCTTTTTTCCTGTTCTACTGCCTTTCATGCTGCTCTCTGTCTTCTTTCCTGCATCTTTGCCCTAAGTACCTTCAGTTTCCTCTGACCTTGTGCCATCCTCTTTCCTCCAAAGCCCCCTCCTCACCTCTCCACCTTCAGCCCACATCCCTGACACCTCTGCCTTCCTGACTCAATGTACCTACGTCTCTCTTGGTTTTCCTTCCAGCTTTAGCTTATGGTATCGGGGTGAAACTGAGGCCCCTGAAGCTGAGACCAGCAGTATAGCTCCCAGCAGTCTACAGGAAGGAGAAGCAACCCCACAGCAACCCCACCTGGAACCTGTGGACAGCCTTCCAACCACCAACTCCTGATGAGCCCTTCTCTGCTTTCTATGGTCCAAGGGCTTCAGCTATACAATAGGCCTAACTTTGGGTTCTGGCTGTGTATGGATGTGTGACCTCAAACAAGGACGTGGCTCCCCTTATACCTAGCCTGCCCTAGGCATGATGAGATTTCAGCCTGTCTCCCTTCCTTGACATCTCTGTCTCTGAGCTCCATTGTGAGCCTGTCTCCCTTGAGGCTTATGCAGGTGACCAGTGCAATAAAGCTCGTACCCATAATACCCCTAAAAATGCTCTCTGTCTGTCAGTCAGTGGTCTGTGTTCCCTCCCAGCCTGGCCAAGAACAGAGGCATGGTGACATGGTGATGTTTCATTGCAAGATCTCTTCATTGGGAATGAGGAATGTTTCTTTATTTTGGGAATATGGCTCCTACCCTCACCCTACTGCTTTGCCTGTCTACAGTACTTGGGGAACCTGTGGCTTCAGTCTTTTGTTCCTGTAGGCTAAGTCCACTCAGACTTCACCTTTCATTTCTGAGTGTTGAGCTGCCTGCCCTCCAGGGAGGTGCCTCATAGCAGCCCGCCCTCTATGCTGGCTTCCTCAGGAAAAGCCTTGGGAGGAAACAGGGAGGGGGTTGGGCGCTGTGGGGACCAGATCAAACCAGGCCCTCCTACTCCACTGGCCGCCATGGGATTAGGGCTGGTGTTCCCTCTGCTGCTCCTCTGGACTCGGGAGACCCAGGGATCCACACTAGACCCAGCTGGTCAGCATGTCTGTAGAGGCAGCAGGTGGGTCTTATGGGGGTCTGCCTGGTAGAGATGGTGGCTGATTAGAGTTGAGTCATCTTGGGAAATAAAGAGGTGGGTAGGAGGTCATGGGCCTGAAGGAAGGGGGCTCTATGGGCTGCCTGGCAGGTAATAGATGGCCAGGGCAGATGGTGGGAAGGTCAGGGAAGGAGAAAAGAGGGTTTGGGACATGGATATTATGACTATGGGCTGTGACATCAGGGCTAGATTTCCTAAGTGGGGCTGGAGAGACTCCCACACCTCAGCCAGCATTCGTGACCCACGCTACAGGGACCTCCTATCGCCTTCCTACCCTACAGCCCCTCTGAGCTCCAGTGCTGCCCAGGCTGGAGGCAGAAAGATGAAGAATGCACCATCCGTGAGTAGCCAGGACAGTCCCCTAGCCAAGGAAAGGAAGGATATGACCCAGTGACAACCCTTCCTATATTACCTCCCCTCCTGAGCCCTGGAGCCAGTGTCCACCCTATGACACGTACCCCCCTCTCCAGTACTAAGAGGATGGCCTTGAAGGGAGCAGAGCCCCAGGAGTGGGTGAGAGGGGCAGGGGTACCCTTTGTGTCCCAGTCCTTTCTATCCTGCGTGGGGTGTTTTTCAGCCATCTGTGAGGGGCCTGATGCCTGCAAGAAAGATGAGGTGTGCGTGAAGCCAGGCCTCTGTCGATGTAAACCTGGATTCTTCGGAGCCCAGTGCAGCTCCCGTGAGTTTCAGTGGTCGGGTGAAGTTGTTGGGCAAAAGTGGCTGAGGGGTAGGAAGTAGGCAAAGCAAATAGAGGTATAAACTTAGAAGGGCAAGGTCAAAATCCC